TCTCATGTGAACCCTTTTACCAAAATTGAAAAATTTATTTGTAAGTTTTCATTATTACAATATATGTGTTGGGGTAATAAGGGTGTCACATTATGCAAGACTTTTAAGTTAGGATTTTAATGGATTCTGCGGGACTTTGTGAACTTTGCAGAATTTCATAAATTTTTGACATAAGATAAGAATTCAAGATTTTTTTCATACATTCAAATTTAAAAGGAGTCAAATATAAAAAAAAATAATGTCTGGATAAATAATAATAATTTTTTGTAATATCATGTCGTTCTAAATAGAATTCACTCACATATCCATAGCTATACTATAGTCCTCCAAATATTAGTATCTTTTCGCTCTTGCTCCTGTGTTTTAATAATAGGCTCAAAATTATGATTTTCATTAACTAGTAATGTTGAAGATGAAGGTTCGTCCATCACTTCAATTAGAAATTCATCATAATGACATTTGTTACGAAGAAAGTTATGTAGTCTCACACATGTTAAAAATTAATTCTAAACAACATTTCAAATTTTTTTATAATTTGTGGTTTAAAATATTTTTTTTAAAATTTTATAAATGATTAAAAAAAAATAGTGGGACAACTACCCTACTCTCTTATAACTAAATATGTCTCTTCATTTTATATCGATACTAAAGTAGATATTTACAAACATCAATTTGGAGAAAAAAAAATATTTGAAATTTGTTACAGGTACAAAATATTTTCTTTTATTTTTAATTTCTTTCAATTATTCACTCGTGAAGAAATAAAAAATCTTGTTTCTCATTACCACTATCATGAAAACATCTCCAATCACTACAACAAAATGAATTTTTAGTGGCATTTAATATGACTTTTAGTGGCAATAAAAATTGCTACAAATTCTTTTACCGGCATTTCACACATTAGCCATTGTATGCGGTGTCGCTAAAACATTTACCGGCAATTATTCTAAATGCTGGTAAAGACTCTCATAATGGTCGGGAAAACTGTATAACTTTTTGTGTCATTTGTTACTGGCATTTAAAATTGTCGCTAAAAGTTTAAGAAAAGATTTATAATACTACTTAATTATCTTATTTCTAATCGATATAGGAATTGTAAGATGAGTACAAATACTCTTTAGTTACCTTATTTCTAATTGATGTGGGACTTAGAAAATGAAGGTTATCTTCTAAGTATATATTTTTTTTAATTTTTTTTAATTATTTTATCTCCTAAATACCAACTTAGAATAGTAAGTTATGGGCCTAACTCAACCTTATAAAACATACTTGTAAGGTAAGAATTATCATTTACTTATATACTCTTTAATTATTTTATTTCTAGTCGATGTGGGACTTAAGTTTTTTCTAACAAATAATTGTCGCTAATAGTAAATTTTGATGTGATGTAAATACATTTTTAGTGACCATTATATAATAGTCATTAATATTTTTATTAAATAATAATAAAATAGAGGCAATTAATTTATTGTCATTAAATAATTGTCGGTAATACTAAATTTTGTTGTAGTGAATTTTAATATATGAACTATAGTCAAATTAACTATTTAATCAAATAATAAATATGATAATACTGATAAAGTAGAAAATAATATTTTATTAAAGTTAAAATTGATTACATGATAGAGTAGATATTGCAAATTAAAAAAATTCAATCCCATTGTTCTATTTGTTTTATATAAAACTAGTATAACAAAGGCACTTGTGCCTGGACTATATTAAAAAAACTGATTATTTTGATAAACAGTTACTTAGAAGTAGTTTCAAAATTAACAAAAAAAAATGTAGAGAATATAATTTTAAGGAGTTATAAAAAATAATTAAAATTAAAATTTTTATAAAAAAATAAAAATAAAAAATATTTATAAAAAATATTTTCTTCATATAATCGTATAGATAATGCGGCTTAATGTATTTGATATATAATTATCTTATAAATTGCATATACTTCAAATTTTAAAGGTTAATTGAAAAATTTATTTGTAAGTTTTCATTATTACAATATATGTGTTGGGGTAATAAGGGTGTCACATTATGCAAGACTTTTAAGTTAGGATTTTAATGGATTCTGCGGGACTTTGTGAACTTTACAGAATTTCATAAATTTTTGACATAAGATAAGAATTCAAGATTTTTTTTCATACATTCAAATTTAAAAAGAGTCAAATATAAAATCAAAAAAATAATGTCTGGATAAATAATAATAATTTTTTTGTAATATCATGTCGTTCTAAATAGAATTCACTCACATATCCATAGCTATACTATAGTCCTCCAAATATTAGTATCTTTTCGCTCTTGCTCCTGTGTTTTAATAATAGGCTCAAAATTATGATTTTCATTAACCAGTAATGTTGAAGATGAAGGTTCGTCCATCACTTCAATTAGAAATTCATCATAATGACATTTGTTACGAAGAAAGTTATGTAGTCTCACACATGTTAAAAATTAATTCTAAACAACATTTCAAATTTTTTTATAATTTGTGGTTTAAAATATTTTTTTTAAAATTTTATAAATGATTAAAAAAAAATAGTGGGACAACTACCCTACTCTCTTATAACTAAATATGTCTCTTCATTTTATATCGATACTAAAGTAGATATTTACAAACATCAATTTGGAGAAAAAAAAATATTTGAAATTTGTTACAGGTACAAAATTACAGAAACCCTAACTCAAATTTATTTTTTACACACACACACATATATATATATATATATATATATATATATATTGTTCTAATAAATCTAAATTGATTACAAGGTCTTGAAGATCTATAGTTGATTATAAAGATAATGATATCAATTTTAGCTTTTACCTTTCCATTTTCGTGACGTGTGTTATAAAAAAAATTACTACTTAAAAGTTAAAACTTCAAGTGTTTTCTGTGTTATATAACTGAGGAACAATCTCAATTAAATAGACCAAAATAGAGCAAGTCAATTAAAGAAAACGGAGAGAAAAATAGAGCAAGTTAATGACACTAACATTTATGTGTAGAAATTTCACCAAATAGGATAATGGAATGAGAATAGTAATACAATATTATATATAAGTAGTAGTGTAGTATTATTAACAAGAGAAAAAAAAATGGAGAAGACATGAGCATAGAAAAAAAAGTAGATGAAAAACCCACTTGGAAATTCTTGAAGCACTTGAAAAGTCACTTCAAACAATCCTCCAAAATCTTATGGGTTTGGATGAGATTGTTTTATGAATTTGGTATTTATAGATACCACTAAAAAGTCCATCAAAATCCTTCTAATACAACAATCCTTTAAAATCCCTATATTTTTTAATATCAATGGATTGTTTTTAAGTTTTTAAAAGTCTCAAATGAATACCAATAGATTTTAATAGACTCTTTAGAAAATCTTAAAAATCCTAATTGAATACCACTGGATTATTTTTAAGTGACATAAAGTCTTAATTGAATACCAAAAGACTTTTTTACTAAAAAAAAAAGTCTTTTAAAATCTTATGAAATCCTAAACCAATACACCCCCTAAATCTCTACTCTTTATGTCTCTTTTGTACTTGTAACGTTCGTTGTTGAGATACAATTTTCTCTATCTTAAAAAATTGAAGATCTCTCCTATAAGAACTAAAATTAAAGATAAGGATTAAAAAATGTAAATATAGGGACTAATATATATATATATATATAATAAAAAATATATATATAGAGACATATATATATATATATATATATATATATATATATATATTAAATTATAAGAACTAAAATTAAAGGACTAAAAAAGATAATTATAAGGCTAAAATTGTCAATTTTAAATGATAAGAACTAAAAACTAAAGTAAGTAAAATTATAGGCATTAAAAGAAATATTTTAACATTAGTTCTATGGGTATTTTCATAATAAAATTTTTAACTATGACATTAAGTTTAGTAAGCGTAAAAAATCATTTGCAACCAATCAATTACAAAATCGGTTAGAAAAACATATTCTAAAATGTTTTAAAACTAAATTTAAAATATGTTTAATAAAACAAACATTTAATAAAAAATTATAAATTAGAATAACTTTTTTTTTAGTATATATCTTATAAATATAATTTAATCATTTATATTAATTAGTAATTTTTTATATCTTTAATTTTAATAATTTATATTATAATATGATACTTTTTATTATTGTAAACATATTATTATTAATAGATATTGTTATGTTTTATTAAAATTTAAAATTAAATATTATATTATATTTAGTTTAAAAATTTTACATACATGTTAAGAATTTATAAATAACATTTTTATTTTAAATTTTAATGTTATAAAATTCTGATATTGTATTTAGTTAATATTATTTTTGTATTAATAATAATAATAATTATTTTATTAATACTGATTTGGTCACGGTTGAATTATGATTGAACAATTGAACCTTAAACTAATATATAAATCGATTTAATGATCGATTCAATTTTAAAAATATTATTAATTACAACTAACTAATTTAACTATTTTTATTAGTGTTAGAATTACTGATTTTTTTTTTTACTTTATTATATCCCACATTATCACATATTTTTACGATACAAATTTAAGCAATCACTATTAAAAAATTTATATGGTCAGATATTTTACCTTGTTTAAATTCAAGACACTTTGTGCCACGTAAACCAACTCCAACAAGAAAAACAAATAACACATCGTTGTTAAACATAAGATACTTGTAATTGTTGATAAAGCACTTATTTACAAAAGATAAAACATACATTATTATTCAATTTTATATTAAAGCACTTTCAAAATATTTATCCCCTATTTATTCTAATGATTACTATTTATATCAATCTTTTGACTTTAAAAAGTTATATCTATCATTAAATTTTATATTAATTTATTTATTAATTTTTGTATCCTAAATTGTAACATTTTCTTTCTATTACTTATTCATTCCCGTATGCAACAAAGAATTGGCATCTATAAATATTATCACTATAAGTTTGTATTAGCAAGAAAAACAGTAAGGAAGAAAAATGGATAAGTTATTTTGGGAGAGATCACTAGTGACGGTTGTGTTGGTTTTGTTTGCCACGATCCGATTTCCGAAAGTTGTAGCTGTTAACGGAAAAATTCCGGCATTGTTTGCATTTGGAGACTCAATCCTCGATACCGGAAATAATAACAATATTCTATCATCAACTAAGTGCAATTATCCTCCCTATGGAAGGGATTTTCCCGGAGCAGTACCTACAGGAAGATGCTGTAATGGAAAAACTCCCACAGATTTGATAGGTAATATTATATATATATATATATATATTTGTGTGTGTGTGTATATTGGAGTAGAAAACATAAAAGTCCCTACTCATCTCAACTTGAAAAACATAAAGTCTTTCACTAGGATTACAAAAAAACAATCATGTACACATATATAAATTCCAATACTAGAAAGTATTAGAAACCTTAAGTTGTCAATCAAGCGTCTATACAAAGCTGTAATAGATAGCATCCACAAAATGTCATCTCCGACATGGCGAACCACTAGGCTCGCCCTCCAACTTAATCCTGACTTACTCATATAACAAATATGATCATCGTAGTCAAACACATGAAAAAATAAATGTAAGCTTGTGTAAAAACAAAATCAACATATAATCTAGGAAGCAGTAAGCTAACTATATAAACATCAGTTACATCTACTCAACAATAGTCATAGTTCAACTTAAATAACATAGATAAATTTACCAAATTAACTTCACGACATTTACATAAATCAACATCTTAGTAACTTCACATATGAATAAGCAACTTATAAAAACAACATACAACTCAACAACTTATGCATCATTATACATTTCAACTAAAAATTCTCTTACAACACAAGAAAGTAGTTTAAGTGTCTTGATCATACCAAACCAACAACATCGAAAAATCTTTCTTCTCTAGGTCATACAACATATTTTTGGATATCAATCCAATATCAATGAAAAAATGATTACTTGAATGTCGTCACTTAAATTACGAAAGTCTAATACCACTATCAGGTATAATATAACTTGGGTATGCACCCATCGTGATATTGACATGCATTAACCAAGTCTCATTTGAAATTAACTTGTCAACTGTCGTCTCAATACCACACACCTCTCCAGCTATTAGTTAAGGATTCTAACCCCGACATCATACCTTACTTTATAGGTCACTTCAACAGCAGTATGGATCGACCTACCTTCTATATTATTTCAACTAAGGATCTAAAAGAAACAATAACCCTCTACTTAAAGAGGAACCTTACTCAATGAGGATTTTTAAACTTTGGGCTCTCAAATGTTTTTATTATGCTTAATTATATTTTGTTTTATTTATTAAGAAAAGGGAGTTTTGTTTTCAATGGAAGGTTATTAGAAAACTTATTAGTTTTACATTCTTTTTCTCACCTTATGCTCCTTTCCTCTAAAACTCAAGACCTCTAATGAGTAGAATGCAGAGGCTATAGGAGCACATCTTGGATATCTTTGTGCATCATCAAGCGTCTATTAAGGTAAAGAGGAGTAAGTAATCTTACTACAAGTGTGAGATATCTACAGGGTAGAGGGATTGAGCCCCCAATCTCTCATTTGTTCATATGTGTTGTGAGGAAGAAATCCAATTCTTGTCTTGAGATTTGTGAATTTGTATTTTGTACTTTACATATATATATATATATATATATATATATATATATATATATTTGTTTCTCTTTATTAAATTTTTTTTATAACATCATTGATCTTTTTCAAAAATGATTTGTAAGTTGAAAATATTGTTCCTTACTTACATCAATTTATCTTTAGTCAATATAAGGTATTATATATTTTTGTTCCTGAAAAATTAGAATCTAGTGGTAATAAACCGATGAGTAAGATAAATGTTAAGTTGGATTATAATAGATGAGACAAAAATAATTTATTAATTTATTTAAATTTCTTAAAAAGTTATTTAAAAATACACTTCATCTTATTTATTTAAGAAAAGGAAAATTCAATCTATGTATTAATAATATTTTAATAGATGAATATCGGATTTATCCATGAAAATATATATTAAAATTTTCATATTTTTTTTTGTAAAATTATTTTAAAAAATATTATAAGTTAATTATATTATTAAATAATCTTTGAATTAAAAAAAACTTTTTTAAATCAAAATATTCTTTTAAAATTTCAATCCAATACATCTATCTTATTATAATCTATTGAATTTTAAAAAATAGTAGATATATATCACTATTCTTCCATAAAATTAAATGAATAGATCGGATACAATCCATCATTATTATGTTTGTATAATAGATAGATTAGATAAATTTACTTATGGATGAATTAGATGAATGAGGAATAAATGGACTTTTCTATTGCAATCCATAAATCCTTTTAAATCGAACACAATCCTTTGAAAATATAGTAGATATATCACTATTTGTCCATAAAATAAAATGAATGAATTGAATCCAATCCATCATTATATTTGTATAATAGATAGATTAGATAGATTTACTTATGAATAAATTAGATAAATGATGGATAAATAGATTTTCCTACTGCAATTCATAAATATATATTATGTGTTTAAATGAGAAATTTTAAAAATTCAAGTTATTTGCGGTGAGTTTTCTTATCATCTAATTTATCGTAGCTCCACAAGACTTGATCACTATGTCATGCTTATTTGATTCATAAAACCCTAGATTATGTTCTGTTTTGTAATGCAAACGATGCTATGTTTCGTTTTTCTTATCTACAGTGCCAATGATTCAAACTAGGGAATATTTGTTGCTTTTGTAAACTTTGTTTCTTAGATCTAGAATTTCCTTGTCCTTTTCAAGTCTATCCGATCACTTGTGACTTGACAATTGGCCTTGGTAGAATTAATTTTGAAACCATTTTTTTTTCTTTTCAAAACAATTTTTAAAAATTTAATATAAAATTAATATAAGAAAAAACATAACATTATAAAAATTAATTTTAAAAACCAATTTTTTCCTTTTCAAACTAATTATATAACCAACTTTGGTTATGTCCGATAATATAACCAATTTTAAATATATTTCGTTATATAACTGGTTTTAAAATATAACCAATTACATAATCTATTTTTGAAAACTTAAAACTAGTTATTACAAATTTTAACTGATTATTGAAAACTAATAAAAAAATTACTAATAACTATAATTATTAAATTTTTAGTTAGTTTATTTTAATAATCTAATCATGAGATTCTAGAAAAGAGAGATAAAAAGATATATAAATAAAATAAAAAAAATATTTAAATATTTAAATTCTTATTTAAAAAAAATAAAATTATATTATTTTAAAATAATTTAAAAATATTAGAATTTCAAATATTTTATAAATTTTTTATTGAAGCAAAATAATTTAATTTAAAATATTTAAAATTCTTTAAAAAGATAAATTAAAACATTTAAATTTTTTATCCAAACATTCTTATGAAGAACATGGATGTGAATATATATGTAGCAATGGCTCTGGGAATCAAAGATTCGGTACCAGCATATCTTAGCGGTAACTTGAGTCCTCAAGACCTCGCCACCGGTGTATGCTTCGCTTCAGCTGGGTCAGGAATCGACGATCAAACTGCTCGCTTACTGGTAACATTAATATTCTCCGTCTTATAATAAATGTGGTCCTTATTACATAAGATTGGGTTTAGTATATGTTACTGAATGTCGTCGTTCCCTTCATAAATAACATTGTTACGTGTGTGACCCATGAACAGGCAACTATATCACAACCAGCCCAACTGCAAATGTTCCGAGAATACATAGGAAAGCTGACAGCAGCTGTTGGACAACAACAAGCGACCCAAATCATATCCGACGGCGTATTCCTCGTTTCCGCAGGCAACAATGACATTGCCATTACCTTTACCTCATTAGCCCTAGCAGTGCCTTTTCCTATATATTCCGCTGGTTTAGTTTCCACCGCTTCAAATTTCTTCAAGGTAAATTTCCCACCTCTCCTTCAAGTTATGAATCATTGGTTCAAATCACATACCATTAGTTATTGTTTTCTTATATAAGTAACTAAAAATTCATATCAAGAGTGAATTATAAGTTTATATTATGGACATAAAACTTTAATTCTATTTGAAGAACACTACTAACTACATTTAAACTGCACCTTTAATTTTGTTTTTATAGATGACTTTAATTATATTACAAATTGTAGAGTATATATGCACTTGGAGCACGGAAAGTTTGGGTACTAAGCACATTGCCACTAGGATGCTTGCCTGGAGGTAGATTAGTAGCGGGAGGACCATTAAGGGCTTGTGCAGTATTTGAGAATATGTTAGCGCAGTCATTCAATGGTCAATTATCAACAGCGGTTAATTCAATCAGAGCCAGCTATTCCGATTATGACATTAGGTTCATCGATGTCTATACTCCCCTCTATAATATCATACAAAATCCTCAGGCATCAGGTCATTTTCTATGCTTTGTTGCTTAATTCAATAATTAATAACTTTACTAACATTGCTAAGTTATTTACTTTAATTATAATAATAACTTCAGGGTTTGAGGACGTGGCGGACGCGTGTTGCGGGACTGGGCCATTCAAGACGGCAGGGTTATGTAACCTTTTGGTTGTGTGTCCAAATCCTTCAACCTACGTTTTCTGGGATTTTGCCCATCCAACTGAGAGAGCTTATCGGCTTGTTGTCGATTCTATACTACAGTCAAACTCAATGAATATTAATGCCTCTACTCTCTCAAACTAATGAGTACAATGTTTCTATACTAGTAGTAGCAGAGTTAGAGCTCTTTGCATCATTTGTTAAAAGGAAAATTGAGGGAGAAAGTGAGAAAGAAGTTTAAGATGGAATATATCCTTTAGTAGTTTGGGAAAAGAAGAAAAGTGAGGTAAAAGAGAAAGAAATTGGTAGGAGCCATGTCTTATAAAATCGAAGACATTTGAAAAATAAAGTATGAAAAAGTGTGGAACTCATTAAATTAAGTGGAAATGATAATTTTATCCTTTTGACTGGAATTGTGTAAAAATATTAATATGATAAATATTTTTTAAAAAAGTATATATTCAATTTTCTTTCTCTTTTATTTCTTTTCTACCTCATTCAATAAATAAAAAATCTTGTTTCTCATTACCACTATCATGAAAACACGTCTCCAATTTTAATCTATGAACTATAGTCAAATTAACTATTTAATCAAATAATAAATATGATAATACTGATAAATTAAAAAATAATATTTTATTAAAGTTAAAATTGATTACATGATAGATTAGATATTGCAAATTAAAAAAATTCAATATCATTGTTCTATTTGTTTTATATAAAACTAGTATAACAAAGGCACTTGTGCCTGGACTATATTAAAAAAACTGATTATTTTGATAAACAGTTACTTAGAAGTAGTTTCAAAATTAACAAAAAAAAATGTAGAGAAAATAATTTTAAGGAGTTATAAAAAATAATTAAAAATTAAAATTGTTTATATAAAAATAAAAATAAAAAACAATTATAAAAAATATTTTCTTCATATAATGGTATAGATAATGCGGCTTAATGTATTTGATATATAATTATCTTATAAATTGCATATACTTCAAATTTTAAAGGTTAATTTAATTAATTAAGGCAGATAAAATTTAAGTTATTACATTATACAAATAAAAATATAATAATTAAAAATGATTATCTGACAATAACTATTAACATATAACAAAAATTTTAAATGATATATTAATATGTGTAACACCCCGAATTTTTCTACTAATACTACGAATAATTATTATTTATTTTTGTATTTATGAAGATTACCCCGAATTTTTCCTATTAATACTACGAATAATTATTATTTATTTTTGTATTTATGAAGATTATTTCCTTATAATTATTTTGATTAATTAAATGGGTTTGATTGAAGTTTTAAAGGTTTTTAATAATAATCATTTATGAAAATTATTTTGTATAAATATTATTAATTATGATATTTTGTTATAATTATTATTTGAAGAAAATCATGTTTTAAATTATATTGATATTTTATTTTAATTTGATATATATATATATATATATATGTGTGTGTGTGTGTGTGTGTGTGTGTGTTATTTATTTATTTACTAATTAGTAATTCTGGATTTTCATAGTCCCGGAACGGGCCATTCCACTTTGGAAACAGGCCGTTCCAACTCGAGCTTGCATGGGTAAAATTTCAACCCAGAACGGGCCGTTCCACTTTGGGAACGGCCCGTTCCGGATGTGATTTTAAAGAAAAAAGTATTGACTCAGAACGGGCCGTTTTGGTTTTGGAACGGGCCGTTCTGGGAGAGGCTTTTGTACATGTTCTATGTGCCCAGAACAGGCCGTTCCGGATTCGGAACGGGACGTTCTGTCCAAATCCTGATGCCTATAAATGCGTTCCTGCACTTCAGAAAAATGCATTTTTTCACTTTTGACCTTTTTCTTCTACACTTTCTGGAGACCAAGGGGAACCCGGAGGAGGAGATCCTGCTTCAGTTTCAACCCCTGTTTATCCAGGTAAGGGGGGAGTGAGAAACTTTGCTTTGGGTGTGGGATTGTATGTTGGGTAGTGGAATTGGCCCCAATCCTGTGTTTGTTGCATGTCATATTTTTCTTGTATATTCCAATTACTTAATTAATATGCGTGTATGAATAGAAACTTTGTTTAGGCTATGCTTGTGGAATTTGGTGCTCCTATGGGTTCCTACAGGAAATCCTAAGGGAGTGCATTGATGCTTGTATGAGTAAATTTAATTGTGATAATAATTATATACGTGAATTGTCTTATTTTAAATGTTTATTATATAAATTGGAACACTCTATGGGTTCTTGAGAGAACCCTATACTACTAGAAAATTGCAAAATAGTGACCGAAATTAGCGACCAAAATTTATCAGTCGCTATTTAGCGACTGATTTAGCGACCGATTATGAAAAATCAAAATAGCGACCGATTTAGCGACCAAAATAAGTCGTCGCTAGAAAATCGGTCGCTATTTCGGTCGCTAAATAAATTTTTTTGATTTTTTAGCGACGGAATTAAATTCAGTCGCTATTTCGGTCGCTAAATTATAAATTTTTATTTTTTTAGCGACGGAATTAAATTCGGTCTCTATTTCAGTCGCTAACTTATAAATTTTGATTTTTTCTAGCGACGGAATTTAATTCGGTCGCTAAATATTAGTTAAAATTAGCGACGAAATTGAATTCGGTCGCTAAATAGTAGTTAAATTTAGCGACAGAATTGAACTCGGTCGTTATTTCAGTAGCTAAATTATAAATTTTGATTTTTTTTAGCGACAGAATTTAATTCGGTCGCTAAAAAGTAGTTAAATTTAGCGATGGAATTAAATTCGTCTCTATTTCGGTCGCTAAATTATAAAATTTTTGATTTTTTTAGCGACAGAATTGAATTCGGTCGCTAAATAATAGTTAAAATTAGCGACGAAATTGAATTCGGTTGCTAAATAGTAGTTAAATTTAGCGACGAAATTGAATTTGGTTTCTAAGTATTAGTTAAAATTAGCGACCGAATTGAATTCGGTCGCTATTTCGGTCGCTATTTCGGTCGCTAAATTAGAAATTTTGATTTTTTTAGCGATAGAATTTAATTCGGTCGCTAAATCAGAAGTTTTGATTTTTTAGCGACGGAATTTAATTCGTTCGCTAAATCAGAAATTTTGATTTTTTATAGCGACGAAATTAAATTCGGTCGCTAAATATTAGTTAAAATTAGTGACAGAATTGAATTCGGTCTCTAAATCAGAAATTTTGATTTTTTATAGCGACGAAATTAAATTCGGTCGCTAAATATTAGTTAAAATTAGCAAAAAAAATTCTATTCGGTAGCTAAATATTAGTTAAAGTTAGCGACAAAATTCTATTCAGTCACTAAGTAAAACATAAATTGCTCAAAAGTGATGATAATATTTTTTTGAGTATCAATCCCATTTTCTTTTTTTTTTTGTAAGAACAAGACATTAATTTATATTAAAAAAATATTATATGCATTCCTACATAATTAATACCAATAGTTATTTATGTGAAAAAATATTTAGAGGTTTTTTTTACGATTGGATTTTTAGGCAGTTTTTTAATTAGAGTATATGAATTTTAAAATTTCTTATTTATTTTGATCTATATTTATAATATATATTTCTAACTTATGATAACTTTATTTTTAAATGAATTTTTATATTTAAATTTTAAATTAGTATTTTATTAATGGTTGATAATTAGAAAATAAAACAAGGATAAATACATTTTTTGAATTTTATATCTTAGATTTAAGATGAATAAATATATTAAGTTAATTAATAATTTATTTAAAATGTTAAAATTTAATTTATAAAAATGATATTTTAAAAGAGAAGGGTTATAATAACATCGGTGTAACTTTTACTAAGTATTACATCGCTCAATAACTTTATATTAAATGTGAATTTTATAAATTCAACCGTTAGATTGAAAGTTTTTTACTCTTAGATCATATATACAAAATCTTATATGAATTCAAGATGATTTGATACTTCATTCTTGTAAAACAAAATTGACGTAATATATACATTTCAAATAAAATATGAGCACTTTGATTACTTTTAAGTTGTTGTTTAATTTTAACAAAAATTGATATAAACATATAAAGTGATATGAACTTTCAATCTAACGGTTGGATTTACAAAATTCACATTTAATATAAAGTTATTGAGCGGTGTAATACTTAGTAAAAGTTATACCAGTGTTATTATAACCCTTCTCATTTTAAAATATATAAATTATTACTTAAACTTTTAAATTTATAATAAATAATTTAAATTGTATCATAAAATTAATTTTAAATAGAAATAAGTAGATTGTTAATTATAAAAGTAAGTATATATATAAATAAAGATTAATTAAATATAATATAATTATTATTATTAGTAATATAATTATTATATATATTATTATATATTTATAACGGTCCGGATATACCAAAATGATAAGGATCCAAAAATAATATAAGTATGAGATTGGATAGTTGAGGATGACTTAAATGAATTAATTTGTACTACTTATACTAACAACATGCATTTGCTTTTCGGTAGCTTATCTCATAAGAACTTCACAGTTAAGCGTGCTTGACTTGGAGTAATGTAGGGATGGGTGACCTTCTGGGAAGTTTCCAAAAATTGTGTAATTAAGGACAAAACATGCTAAAAACTTAAGTATTGTGAAATAAAATCCTTAAGAGGCCAAATATGAGTGGTTCATAGCGACCAAATTTGCAACGCCTATAAAATTTAATAAAATAAAAAATAAATATTTAGCGACCGATTTATTCGGTCACTAATTTGCTCTCATACACTTCAATCATTTCAACCATTTAGCGACCAAATTAGCTTCGGTCGCTAAGGTAAATAGTGACCGATTTTTGCAATTTAGCGACCAATTTTGGTAGTCGCTAAATTGCATATTTTTTGTAGTGCTATGAGCAGCAGGCAAAATATGAATGTTTTCTATTTTTCCTTCTGATT